TGGAAAGGGAAAAACTCAATGCATCATGGGAACTGAAACAACACATCAGGCCTGTTAGACTTTAGATAGATGGAAAAGAAATTAAATGGTAATATGGCCTCTATACTTTTCAATTTTTTATTGCATTGTCATTAATTCAAGTCTAAGTTTAAATACTGAGTTTGAAACAAACAAACAAACAAACAAACAACCACGCATAAGATTAGACGGTGCTAAAGGAATTGTTGCATTGCATTAAGTAAATGTTTTCCACAGAGAAATGCAGGAGTAGTACCATGGACCACAGAGGAAGTATATGTGTGTGCACTGTTCCTCAGGTCAACAGGAAAGCTGACCTGAACATCTGAACAAGTCAAGTGGCTTTTGTTGTCATTTCAACCATGTACAGTGATACAGTACAGAGTGAAACGAGACCCTGGTGCTACATATGACCGCTGCGTGCTGCTGCGTGAATTACTGAGAGGCTTTAACTCTTCAAAGGTTACAAACACAAAAAAAATAAATCATGGCTTAATTTTGAGCAGTATGTTATGAAAAACATAACAAAATAGACACAAACAACAAAAAAACTTCACTATTACAATTTGGCAAACATTCTTCACATTGCTCCTCTGACTCCCATTGGTTACAAACATTTGCATCATCCCATAATCATCCATAATCATCCATAATCATCCATAATCATACCATAAACTATAGCAGTTTTTTTTATTACGATTATTTATAATGGCATTTAAAATAACGGACAGATACTAAAACAACTTAAAGAAGCAACTCATTGCTTGTCTCTATCTGAAAGTGTTGAGGCTGATGGGTTTGAATAGTGAGTGTTCACTGCCCTCTAGTGGATACAATGAGGAAGTGTGTTGCCCCATCAAAACAACTTGAACAGAGTTTTGGGAGTTTTGGGAGTTTTGGGATGTCACCAGGGCGGTCTAACCTGTTCAGTGCTGGTATCACAGCACAGGGATGGTGTATGTCTGAAAGCAGCTTTAGATTAAATGTAACAGTCTAAATTCAGAAAAGCAAAAAAGGAACCAACTGGTATCATTATCTGTGAAACTGGTTCAGTGTAGCATATTAAATATGTATTATATTGGCATATTACTGTAAAAAACAACCAACCAACCAAAGCTTTAAATGTAAATCTGAAAAATAAACTGATTCCATTATTTCTCCAAGCTCACCTCCAAATTCAGAACATTATAGGACACTATCCTCTACTGGAACTCAGCTGGAAGTACACATGAATGAAAATCTCTGACCTACTGAGATTGCTCTGCTGAAGTGCTGCTGATCACCGACAAATAAAACAGGGTGGGTAGCGTGTACTAATTATCTACCATACACTTCCTTTCATCACTGTATGCAAGTATGCTTAACTGGCTCACTTTAACTATTGAGCCATGCCATACTATGTTCCAAAAGTAAACAAACAACAGGATGAGAGAGATTTTGGTCCTTAGTGACATGATATCATCATGCAGTTGCTTTCTGACATGCAGCGTTATCTTGCTGGAAGCACACTGTGGCCATAAAGGATTGGATATGCTCAGCAACAATATTCAGGTTCGGCTGTGGCATTTAAACCATGCACAGGTTGTACTAAGGTGCCCAGAGTGTGACATGTGTCTGGCCATTCTCCTGCGACCTCTAGCATGAACACGGTATTTTCACCGAGGGAGCTGCCACACACTTGGCTTTGCAGAGAGCATTTTCTGAAACATTCAACCAAACCTGTCTGGCACCCACAGCCATGCCATTTAAATAAGTTCTTTCTATTCTTGGTTTAGGGTCAAACTTCAGCAGATAGTCTAATTCCTAAATGCACTGAGTAGTTAACATGTGATTGATCAGATATTTGTATTAACAAGCCTTTGAACTGGTGAACCCAACAAACTGACACATAATAAAGTCTGGATTCTGGCTTGTAAAATATAGTCAATCAAATACTCAAGTGTATTATTACTTAAGTAGTATGGTACTCTTAAATCATAACAATACACAGTACATAGATAATAATTATATAGATATGGATTCAGAGTTGCAAACGCATTTACACGATCGTCTAGATATGAAGTTTTAACTAACTTTTCATAATTTCTTGTGCAGAATCTGCAGTTTAAACGACAGTTTTTCTGTGGCGTGGAGATCTATATCTAAACTGAGCTATTCACTGCCTTTAAAGAAATGCCCACACAATGATATTGAATATTCCAAAGCACTGTAAAATATGCTTCCATAATTATCGAGTTTACACTCTCAGTGAAGCTCTGTAAGGAGCTCAAGGAATGAAAATATGCATATTAATAAGGCCCCATAAACTCATAAATCATTTTGACTGAGGACACGCCCCCTGCTCTTCTACTGGCTGCTACGTGCCTCTCGTCGGCTGCGTCCCCTCTTGGTAATTTAAATAGCCCCCTTACGGAATTTGATGAATAGGGTCGCTGTCAAAAGCGTCAGACGGAGAGGAGAGCTGACAGACAGACAGCTGTGACAGAGAGCGGAGGAGCACGAGCTGCGTCATGCGTCGTCCTCGCGCGTACATCTAGTTATTTATCCGCGGAGTTGGACGTGGAGAGTTTGCTCAACTATTACCGTCCCGGGCTTCATGTTCCGTGGCTAATCCTGTTTTGTTCTTTTCTGGAGCGATATGGATCCTGGAGCATGTCGAGCTTAAGTGTGGGGCCACAGCTTTGAGCGTGCGCAGGCTGAATATTTCCCCAGGTTCAAAAAGTTCTCTCGTCAGGAGGAAAAGCTTCGTCTAAGGTAACGCATCGTTTTTTCTCCTGTTGTTTTACGTCCGCGCGCGCATTTCTGAGCACGGCTCCGCTTTCAAAGCGAGCAGCTCGTGTCATTAAGCAGCATTTAGGCTACGATAGAATAATTTAAACCTAAAGGACGCGAACAGAAATAGTTTTTGAGAGGTTCCCAGTTACCGGAACTCTACCAAAAGTAACATTTGGTGACTTTCCCCACCCCTCCACCTCGCGCGCGCACACACACACCTTTGACATAGCGTTAACGCGAGTAAATCCTTTCCCCGTCCCGGTATTTTTGTCATAAAAAGCTTTCTTTTGAAACCACACAGCTCTCCAATGCAAATCTACACGGTATATTTGACCTTTTCTGCTTTACTCGCTGTGCACAAAGAATTCTGGGTAAAATATCACAGTAATTCTCTCATGTTGAGGTCAGCCTGTTAGAGCATGTTGCAGTCATGCTGAAGCCTGGTAAACGTTTAGCATGTGTAACCATAAATGTGAAAAAGTGCTGCAGATTGGAACTAACTCCGTTCTCTTAAGATCTATTCCAGATATTTAATAGTATTAATGTTGTTTTTGAAATCTTGAACCTTGATTGGTTACCCCCGTCTCACCCATCCTGTGTATTCAGGAGCCTCAGAGGGCCACAGCATCATGGTGAACAGCCAAGTGCCAGGTGTACCGTCAGACCCCAGGTCTTGTGCAGGATGTGGGGGGAAGATTGCCGACCGCTTTCTGCTCTTCTCCATGGAGCGCTACTGGCATACGCGCTGCCTCAAGTGCTCTTGTTGCCAAGCCCAGCTGGGGGACATTGGTACCACCTGCTACAGCAAAGGGGGCATGATTCTTTGTCGGAGCGACTACATCAGGTGAGAGCCAGAGGAAGGAGGGAAAGGAAGCTGCTGATTTTTAGATTTCCGAGGCCATGCAGATCTTACGAAAACCAAAACCAAATCTTTGTTTTTGTGTTTGCAGACTGTTTGGGCACAGCGGGGCGTGCAGTGCCTGCAGCCAGTCAATTCCAGCCAACGAAATGGTGATGAGGGCACAGGGAAATGTTTACCACCTCAAGGTAAATCCCCAGCTCTCACGTTACTGTGCTTCATCTCCTGCAGCTTGTTCGACAGAAGCATGTGTGTGTGTCAGGAGAAAAGGGAATTATACCCACATATAATCACGCTTTGAGACTTCTTTTAAGATGTTTTTAGGTGCTTTTACAACAGAATTTCAGCATTGTAGTGTTTTATTTGTAATATCTTCCATCCAGCATCAACTGAAACTCATTCAATTTTGACATGAGATTTTTCTCTTCCCCGATCCACTTCAGTGTTTCAGCTGTGCCACTTGCAGGAACAGACTAATGCCTGGCGATCGCTTCCATTACATCAACGGTACAATTTTCTGTGAGCACGACAGACCGGGCGCTGCCTTGCTCAACAGCCACCTGCCAGCACTCCAGAGCAGCTCTGTGCTGACGAACCAGAAGGTGAATAAGACGTAAATTCACTGTCAGTTAACATCACTGTGCTGGAATGAAACTTCTGTTAACTCCCTCCTTTGACAGGGTAATTGCAAACCGATGGTATTATTAAAATGAAGACAAATATGTGGTAACCTGACTACAACGTAAATGCAGAAAGTCTTACAATCATACAGTACAGCCAATAAAGTTAATAACTGTAATGCAGTCAGATCGAACCACCAACCTTCAAACTGGTAGATGAACTGCTCCTGAACTACGGCCACTGTGTTATGAAGAAAAACTTTCATTTTTCAAATAACTGAACAAAAATGTTTCAAAAGTAAATGGCCTGTATTTGTATAGCTATATATAGCTACATTGTAGCCACAGCTGCCCTGGGGCGCACTGACAGAGGCGAGGCTGCCGGACACTGGTGCCACCGGGCCCTCTGACCACCACCAGTAGGCAACGTGGAAGTGTCTTGCCCAAGGACACAACGACCGAGACTGTCCAAGCCGGGGATCGAACCGGCAACCTTCCGATTACAAGGCGAACTCCCAACTCTTGAGCCACGAAGTCAGAAATCACATATTTGATGTAGAGGCGGCACGCCGTCTCTATTTCACTCTTCTGTACCACCTTTAGGAGTCAGTCCAGCAACAAGCATTTGAAACGCGAGCGAGTCCAGGTACTTTTCTTGCAAAAAAGATGTTTATTGAAACTTTTAATTTACATGGCAAGACTCGGTCAAAAAACTGTGTTGCTTCCAGCTTATCTGACTCCCCAACTACGTAATTACAGTGTGCCGGGAGCCCAAAATACTAAAAAGCGCATTAGAATGTCGCACTTCTATATTCTATACCTTTAACAAAACAGCATTTTGAAATTAACTAGAAATTATATTCTTAACATCAAACATGTATATTTCTCCTCTAATCATTTTACCAGTACCAATAAAATTAACCTTTAATTGGCTCTTACATTTGATATGTATTATTTGGGTTACTTGGACATCATCACTAGTCTGCAAAGAACATTAGAAACCCTTGTTCAGTCAAATATGACTGAATTGTTACTTGTAACGACATTTTTTCTTAATGTAGCGCGGTAACGCTACATTGAATCAAAAAAATGTGCACTTCTAACAGTGAAAATAGGATCTCAACCTGATTTTTGTAAAGAACTGAAATGCATTTGCTTTTCTAAGCTGCTGATGTCACACTGCTGTTTAGAACTGTAATAATAGCAGGTATTGTGCATTATTATGCATTAATTTGAAGATAAAGAGAGCACTTATAAGTGATGCAGGACTCTGTGGTCACTCTGCTTTTGTTTGTTCATTTGCAGGTATGCTGAGTGGCAAACGTGCCACGCGCTGCCCTTGCCTTCCTCTCCAAAGCTTCACTCCTTTCTTCTCTTGTGCTACTGTTGCTGTTGTTGTGGATTCCCATCACCACCCACCTGCTTCTCATCCCCTCCCAGAGTGGACACCGTTTCTCAGTTTCTCACTCAAGATATCCCACAACTCGTCATATCAGAGAGACCCTCTACTACATGCAAAGTCCCGTCTATGTTGTGGTCAATGTTAAAGTGGTCTGTGCATCATGCAGAGACTCAGGAGTTGCACTAGCAAAAGGCTCTTAAAGGACAAACGGCTGGATGCCAAGTGGAGGAGAGCAAAAGCTGCTTGAGTGGACATTTGATGGACTGCTGTAAAATGACTGAAGTTTTGCTTGATGCCTTGCGGCATTTTTCCCCTGAGCATCACTGTTTTTATTTTTAATTTTATTTTTTTTATCACTAAACTCCTGATCTCACTCTTACGTACATGTTCACCTGGAGATCTGACACTGAGGAGATCAAATTGATGGATGACAAAAATGTGAAAATATTCAGTCATTGGAAATCCTTTAACCCGCAGCAGAAAGCTTTTAAAGCCCGTCGCTGCTCCGTCACGTATCGATTTCTCCTGCGCCCTGCACATCGACAAAAACAATCCCGTGAAACTTTATTTTTCTGCTGTATAGTTTTGTTTCTTTACCAGATGCGTGTTTGGTGTTTGTTGGGATGGTGGTGGTTTGTGGCATTGAAAGAAAAATTCTATTAAAACGATTCTTGTAACCTGTCACAAAGTGATCTGAGGTTAAGCCCGTTAGTGGCATTAGAGCGGCAACATGTTGCGTGGCACCTAGCGTGGTGGATGTTACTGGCTCTCTCACTCTCTTTCGCCCTGTATGGTGAAAACATGCCTGATTACCCCGAGGAATGGAATTGGGGGGCTTGAGCTCTGACCATTTACAGAAGCAATTAAACATGATCCCTGTATCTGTGCTGCTGGAGCTCCTGGGAGGCTGAACTCGGGGCATATCCCAAGGTTGACTGACTCGGTGGCTGCTCGCTTCTTATAAAGCTTAATCTGAAAGCAGGCTAATTAAAGGGGATGTAGCTCCCTCTACATCCAGGGTGTTTGAAAAAATCTTATGTATTTACTGTTTACCATGTTCCAATTAAAGCTCCCACACAGCCTGGTTTGTTTCCTGTCGCTGTTCTTTGTTCTCTGCCACTTTGCAATGCGTCTGAAATGCATTTCCTTGAGCTGCATCTAACTCGCTATGCCTTTTTAATGCTATATAAAAAAGTTTAAAGTCTTAGCGCATCGTCGGTAGTTTGGAGCTAATCTCGGTGTGATAGTGGCAACAGAGTGCGCCGTGTGCAGGAAGCACAAGATAGCATCTGCTCTACTTTCACACCTTGCCTGGGAGCATGGCAGCCATCAAACTCGCACCTTAATGCGCTTAGTTATTTCAAAGCGTCCCACTTGTCATGCTAGGTGCTGATACCGCATCAATTATTTATTCCACGTCTGATCAAGAAGCGTCACGCAAATTCATTAACGTATGCAAATGATCACAATTACAATTATCTTTGTATCGTGATGGTGAAGAAATAAAACCTTGGCACATTCCCGAGTCCCACCACACCACAAGTTACACTTTGCATTCAAACTAATCAAGCCTCATCTGCCTTTTCCTAATTAGCCGGAACGTTTTCAGATGCCAATTAGCGGGTCTCATGAAAAGGCACTTTGCCATGAGGCGTTGTCTTTTATCAGAGCTTCTGCAGGTGTGTGGCTCACCGTGTAGCTCGTGTCATAGGAAAGTGTTTATTCCTGCTAATTAATCATATTAACACATGCAGATGAGTGTAATTGCCTGAGCTCCTCCACCTCACACTGTGTGAAGACACAAGAAGATGCCGAGATATTTTTACATGCTTATGATGAGAAGGACAGGAGATGCCTCCTCCTTGCCCAGATACTCGTGACACAAATCAAAAATGGCCACCCCCCTTGATGCTGATTTGTCAGTCTGTCAGCCAGAAGCTCTTTTTCGCGAGCGTGCCTGTGTGTGTGGAGTATTTGGAACCAGACAATATGCTGGAGTTGTTTTTCAACTCTGTAATGTGTCACCAGATGTGACCTAGAGTGTGAGCACCAGAGCCAAACAAGCAACCAAAACAAACTTTGAGTATACATTTCAATAATAAATCTAAGAGCTCGTTACTTTTGTGCTTTTATGTTACATTTGCAGTGTCAACTATCACCCCGAACTACAGAACTGGCAGCGATGCATTCCTGCAAGTGTCAACGTTGCTAATTCTTTTCCAGAGTCTATCATGTACAGGTGATGCATTATAAACTGGAATCTGTGACATTTTTCATGAGATTTAGTAAGTTTAAAGATAAATAAATGCTTTGGTCACATGACACAATTTCATTATTCTCCAGCCACCCCTAACAACGTCGCTTCGAACCTGCAATATCCCTTAACCTAAGTCTAAAACTAAGAACACCAACTGCATCTTCCTTGTTAGATATTACTCGAGTAGAAAATATTTTCAGCCTCGTTCCAATCGAGTTTTCTTCCTGTTAAAAGGGAGTTTTTCTTCCCACTGTTGCCAAGTACTTGCTCATTCAGGCGACTGTTGTTGTGAATTGACGTATGAAAATAAAAAACTGATTTAAATCAAATTAAAGTGAAATTTTTACATTTTAAACTGGTACTTAAAGTGACAGTGCTGCTTTTCTTATCACAGTGCAGTATCAGCAGTTTGTGTCATTTTGTGACTAATGTGTACATTTTGATACTAAATCATTTTTTTCATATTTTACTTGTATGAAAATGTGATTTTTCGGTGTATTAAGTGGTATCATACCGCTCTAACTAAGATTATGGATGCACAGCGAATGCCCCTACATTACCGTAAAAATACGAGAGGCTACAGCAGCACCCCGTAGGGTTAACAGTTATCACAAGGTGCTTTATAGTGAAAGGTAAATCCTTAGCAATATTAGCAAGACAACTCTCCAGCAATCACCTATGAACAAACACTAGCCTGGTTCACTTCCTGTTAACAGGAAGTGAACCAGGCTAAAGGATGAGCAGCTATCTGATGCAACTAGTTGGAGAGTAAGTAAAAATAAAGAAAGGAAAACAAGAGTATAGAAAGGAATTATCATTATTGTTCAGTGTGAACAGTAGAGTGGAAATACTTGTGCAGTAAAAGGATCGAACTGCTGGGGAAGCCGAGGTGTACGTCCAAGCTAATGGAGCAACTACCAATGGTATTAAAGGATACTGCAGCAGACATATGAAGGAGTGCTAAATACATCAGAGGGTTAATATGCAACTTTGTTCTGAAATATTTACTATTTATTTTGATTCAACTTTATTTATATTGTAAAAACAAGTGAAGAAGCGCTCAATGCATCATGGGAAATTCCCCAGCAAGCCCCAGTCTACAGCAGCATAACTAAGGTTCAAGGTTAGCCCATCCCAAAGGAGCATTTTAATGTTTATCTGAAAAGCAGAGAAATTGTCTGTCACACCTTAAAGGCCGGTGCGTGAAAATGCAAACTGTGAGCTGGTCGTGCAGAACAGGAGCCTGATAACAAACAGCAACGCAGTTCCTTTAGACGTGATTATTACTTGCTAACAGAAATCTCGGGCTTAGTTTACTTATTCTGGTTTAATAAGATTGTCATTTTTGTTTTCAGATGTCCTTTAGTACAGCGGTCCCCAACCTTTTTTTGCGCCACAGATCAGTTTATGTCTGACAATATTTTCACGGACCGGCCTTTAACCCTTTAAGTCCGCCAGAGCTTATATTATATGTTTACATGCTGTGGAGCCGTTTTTGGGAGCATTTCAAGTTGCTATACATCAATACAACCATTATAGCCTA